GGAGGGGCGGGTAGGGAGGGGAGAGACTAAGGGGAGGGGGCTGGCAGGAGAATGCGCTGCCAGAGAGGGAGGGGCACAGGGGCACCTGGGGGGGGAGGGGCACAGGGGCACCCCCTCACACTCTTTTCCTCCTTGCCCCATAGTGCACACCCTGGAGGACAAACTCACCCAGGTGGCCAGCTCCCTGGATCAAGCAAAGGAAAATTCAATCCAAGGTTGAGTAAGGGCATTGCCAGGGGCGCACTGTGTATGTGTGTATCCAGAGAGGGAGGGGCACAGGGGCACCTGGGGGGGGAGGGGCACAGGGGCACCCCCTCACACTCTTTTCCTCCTTGCCCCATAGTGCACACCCTGGAGGACAAACTCACCCAGGTGGCCAGCTCCCTGGATCAAGCAAAGGAAAATTCAATCCAAGGTTGAGTAAGGGCATTGCCAGGGGCGCACTGTGTATGTGTGTATCCCAGCAAGGGGTGCTGTGTGGGGGGGAGGGAGTTCCCAAGAGGAAACATGGTGTGTGAGTGGGTTCTCAGCACAGGTTGCTCTGTGTGTATGCATCCCAGCAAGGGGCATGGTGTGTGGGAGTTCCCAGCAGGAGGTGCTGTATGTGTGAGTTCCCAGCAGGGGACACTTTGTGTGGGTGGGTGGGTTGCCCAGGAGAAGGTGCCGCAGGTGCTGTGGGAGAGGGGTCCCCAGCAGGGGCTCTGTGTTTGTGAGAAGGTTTCCCAGCAGGGGGTGCTGTGTGTGTGTATGTGGGAAGGATATGTTCCCAGCAGGGAGTGCTCCGTGTGTGTGTGCGTGTGTCCGTCCCAACAAGAGGTACTATGAGGGGGAATGTCTCCCAGCAGGGTCTCTATGCATGTGAGGGGATTTCCCATTGGGGGGCGCTGTGTGTGCTGAGGGGTTCCCAGCAGGGAACACTGTGTGTGGGGATTTTCCCAGCAGGGAGCACTGTGGGGGCATTTCCAGGAAGGGGCACTATGTGTGTGGGATCTCAAGCAGGAGGCACTGTGTGGGGGGGTTTCCAGGAGGGGGTGCTGTGGGAGGGTTCCCCAGTAGGGGGCGCTGTCTGTGCATGTGTTGCTGGGGTGCTATGTAACACACCCGATTTCCTCCCTCCCTCAGCTCAGCAACGGCTGGAGGAGCAAGTGGGGATTCTCCGAGACAGTCTGAACTCACTCAACTGTGACTTGCTTGAAATGAAATCCAACGGTGAGTGGTGGCCACTCCCTGTGTGGGGGCAGAGTGGTGACCTGGCTTTGAGTAGTGGATAATTACAGCCCAACTGACCCTCCTCTGTCCTCCAGAGAGCCAGCCTGGCTGCTGTCCCCGGGACTGGGAGCACTTTGGGGAGAGCTGCTACTGGTTCTCCAGGGATCAGAAGACCTGGGATGAATCCAATCTCTACTGCAAAGCCCAGGACTCTCACCTTGTCATCATCAACACGCGGGCAGAGCAGGTAGGTGCCATGAGTTGGCTGGTCTCATCTTCCAGCTCCTTTCCCAGCAGGTGGCACTGTAGGGGGCAGGGCAGAGGGGCTGGCTGTTGGGGAGCTGCCAACTATCCCAGTCCCAGCCTCTCCCTGCAGTGGGAGGCAGGTAGGGGGGCTGGCTCTGGGGGGAGGTTCCCAGCAGGGGGTACCTGGTCCCTTGCGCCCTAAATAACCCCCTGGCCATTTTTTTCTATTGCAGCTCTATGTACAGCGCCGCACGGTCCCATTGTATACCTGGATTGGCTTGACTGATACAAGTGGCCAGTGGAGATGGGTGGATGGTACCATTTACACCATGAATTCACGGTGAGTGGCCCCTCTCCCAATGTGTCTGTGTGTGTGTTCATCCTGGGGACACCCCAATTGTCACTGATGTATCTTTAATCCAAATCAATGTTGGTATTTGCTCAACTCATCCCATCGGTCCCAAAATCAGGTGGTAAGAAATTGATCTTAATAAATCAACCTTAACTCATAGAGAAGACGTGGCCTAGTTATCAAATATAACTTCCTTCAAGTTCTCCATTATTTCCATAATCTCATCCAGTATCTACCCTAATCTAAAATATTAATCCTTCTAATGAAATCTGCTCCAACTGTATCTAAAATATAAATATAATCTCAGCTAATCTCCTGGCATCTAATTTAATCTGTCCTCAGATACTTTATTGCCTTTCTTATCTAATTAACCCAATCAAATCTAATTTTATTATTCATGTAGTCCAATGTGTTACAGTCTATTCCCTTGTAAACGCTTCTATTCAAATCGACTCTAATAATCTCTTTACCAGGCATGTCAAACTGGCATTTGGAGGGCCACATGCGGCCCGATCAAAATTTTTTGCGGCCCACCAGAACATTTTTATAATAGAATGAAGGGTGGCCTGCTGCCTGCTCGGAGTACGTGACCGAGTGCCTGCTCACAGCTGGCCGGGCTGCTCTGTGCATGCACTCACGGCCGGCTGGGTGCTCTGCTCTGGGTGCTCCAGCAGGCACTCACAGCTGGCTGGGCCGCTCTGCGCACACGCTCATGGCCAGCTGGGTGCTCTGCACGGGGCACTCCAGCAGGCGCTCACAGCTGGCCACTGTGCTCATGCCACCCCAGCGCCTCAGGCGGCAATGTTGACTCTGGGACCCAGGTATTAGGTGGGGGGGAGGGCTGGGAGAGCCTGGCTCTGGGGGAGAGGAGGCATTAGGTTGGGGGTGTCTGGCTATGGGGGAGGGAGGAGGAATTAGGTTGGGGGGGCCTGGCTCTGGGGGAGTGGAAGGGGATTGGGTTAGAACAGGAGTATGGGAGTGTCTGGATCTGGGGAAGAGGAAGGGGTTATTTGGTTAATGTTTTGGTTTTTATTTATTTATTCACAAATAAAATTACTAAATGTATATTAACTGTATATCAATAAATGTGTCAATTTTTTGCAATTGGATGAATAATTATATCTTTATGCAATATCTCAAACTTACAAAGTATCTGAAATTTTCACAGAAGCCTGTTCTATTTGATTAACCATGATCTATACTTGTTTTTATTTCAACAAAACAAGCTATGTATCATATTCCAAATTTAAAAGTACCTTAAATTTATATGTAAATTAAAAATTATGTAAAATTAATTTAAAATTATTTAATATGAGCAAATAATTTTACACATCAAATTATTGTAATATTATAAAATATACCTAAAAGCCAGGTGTCTGGTATTGGTGCCGTCTGCCTGGCACCTAAAATTATTTTTTTTTTTTTTTTTGCTCAACAAACCAATTGGGAACCCTACGTGGCCCTGAAAGCTATCAGTTTTCATTTGTGCGACCCCTCAGTAGGCTTCGAGTTTGACATGCCTGCTCTCTACTACCCATAATCTAATCCAATATCCATTTTAATCCAATGTATAATTCCTTTTAAAATTATCTATTCCAACCTAATCTAAATTATCCATTTAATCTCAGAAAATCTTCCCTGTCATCTAATTTAATCTAACCTATAATCACTTATTTTACTGTTCTTCTTATTCAATCTGTTATCTGATGAAATATAATCTATTCCAAACTAAATGGAAATTTCCTCCAAACAAATCTAATAACTCCATCTACTCTGATCTAAACTGATGTGTGCTCTAATGTAATTTAATAAACCATCTAATATCTCTCTATATATTTTAGAGGTTTGTGCGTCCATCCCTGAGTCTGTCTGTCTGTCTGTGTGTCTGTCTGCAAGTCTGTTTGTTCAAGAACTCCTCCTGAACAGTAAGAATTAGGACCACCAAATTTTATTTACTATAATATAATTAGCACTAATATTAATATAATAATTGCTGTAATTTAGTAATTGTATCAAATCTAATTTGTCCTCTAAAATATCTAATACATTGTCTAATCTCTTTCAGTCTAAAGTATTATCTTTAATATAATTTAATCATTGCTCAATATAATCTGTTTCAATCTAATCCCAATTAATGTAACCTAATAATCTTCCTAAAATCCACAGTTCCAATAATCTAATCTAACCAATTGCTATCTGAACTCCTATCTAATCTATCCTAGCCTAATGTAATTTCTTCTATAATTGGATTCATTCCAATTTAATCTAATACCCTGTACAGGCAGTCCCCGGGTTACGTACAAGATAGGGACTGTAGGTTTGTTCTTAAGTTGAATCTGTATGTAAGTCGGAACTGGCGTCCAGATTCAGCCGCTGCTGAAACTGACCG